TCTATCAATTTATAAATTTATCTATCAATATTTATCTATCAATTATTCACAATTTATTTTACCTTTTCAGCAAAAATATCTAATTAAAAAATAATTATAACCACACAGTTAAATTGTTAACTTTTCTCTTAATATTGCAATTTTGAATCCAGTTTCAGGTTTATTGAGAAACTGGAATAAATCCTTAGAGTGTTTGGAAGCCAGCAGAAAAAACAGACGAATTAGCAGCTAAATCACCAGGTGTGTAAGCATAAATTTCATCGTACTTTATTATACAACTTGTGAAAAGTAGGGTGTGAAAAATCTATCAGTGACCACAAGACACATGTGACATGGCTATATTTCATGGTTGCCATGCTTGGGATTTTTCAGAATGCATGTAGACTCAAATTAAAGTGGAATTCATGGGCAAGATTACAAAATGATCGAAGAGAACCTGTTTGAAGAAAAAGGCATCGAAGCGACTTTTTCCTGCTTTTATTATTAAAAAATGACAAGGACTTCCCTTCAACTCCTATACCAACCCAACAAAATTACAGCAACAATATGCTATAGAAACTCTCCTATTTGTTGTAGTACATCGTTATTTGCATTCTCGCGTGCATTTTAAAAATTTATTTATTTAAAAATCTTTGTAACACGGCAGCCGACACCAATTCATTGTAAAGGATTGTTTTTCATGGGGTTGTGTACGTAAATATATAATACAAAATTAGTTAATTTATTAATACCAATAAAAAATGCATGCAAATAATAAACGGCGGCAAGATATGACATTAATATGCTAAATAAGATATGACGTTATGTAGCATATGACGTTAATATACTAGATAACATATGACATTATAATATACTATGTTTGGACTTTGGGCAATATTATTAAAGTATTATTTTACATGCAGTGCCTTTGTCAGATACTGTGATCGAAGAACTGGCAAGTCAAGAACGCCTACGCGTGTGTGGTGAACAACCAAGTGAGTAATAAAATTATTATTAAATTTCGCAGGCTAAAATAAAAATGAATGCTTAGACTAACACTTAGTCTATTCTGTCGCAAAAAGAACATTTTACAAAATGAGTTTTGGTACTTTCGTCTTTTCACACTTTCTCAAAAAGCAGCACAAGAAGAAAGCAACTCAGCCACTGCTGATTCACCAATATCGACGTATGTTGATAATTTAAGAACTTATGCTCTAAGGTTTGTTTTTAATTTATAGTCGTGATTTTCATATATGCATGCATGCAGTTTTACAGTCATTATCGCCTAATATTGGGTTACTCCCAAATTCGTGTTTGTATTTTTTCCAGAAATAACTTATGTACTGATGTAAATGATGCAGGTGAAGTTTCTTCTCTCACTAAAAAAATTGAAAGGTATAACAATAATAAATATGCACAATACTCAAATATAAATATATATATATATTCATAAATATATATATTCATAAATAACATTTATTTGAATACTCTTGATTGAGTCATGTTTTTTGGTTAGTATTCGTGATGACTTAGTATATGCCACAGCACAGTCTGTGTCAATCTCTACCTAGTTTGATCTTTGTCAAATTATAGATTGCATAATGGAATGAATTCTTATTTTATGATTGCAGAATAGATAAAGAGCTCGCAATTCTCGAAAGAGCAAACGGGATAACAACGCAATGGACACCAAATGACGACAACTATAAAAGTGAAGTCGACCTAAAAAATCACCGGAGGTACACGGAAATCTATGATAAAATAAAAACAGTTTGCGAAGAAAGGTTATTTCTGTTGAAACTAAAAGAAAAGTATTCTGGTAAGTGCACGCCAGATCAAGTCAATTGCCAGGGCCTTTTTTAACTATATCACTATCACTGCATGGGGACTAAAGCAGTCCCAGCTCACAGGCACATAGTGCTCCCCCAGTTAACTCTTTCCCGACAGGTCCCTATTAAGTAAATCACTCCTGATTTACGACTTTGCAGGGTCATATCGTCAGTTGGGTGCATGCTATGTAGATGAAAATACCACCATTCGATTCAGTGAAACAATATCTCCTATACCTGTCGATAGTTTTAGTCAAATATAATTTTAGTGAAATTGTATAACAATTTATGACCTTTCGACAGGTCAAGCGGTGTCATATTTCATTATATTAATCAATTGTCTCGAACAATGTAAACTATCAATACCTTTTGCCGAACATAACTTCGGCCCCTTTTGAGATATCGTTTTCGCTATAGTCTTATTCGAAACAGAATCAAAAACACTATTGAAAGTGTTATTTTCAAGCTTGTAGCCTTAGTTTTTCGTCTTTTATTTCGGTATTTCAATCTGTTGCGAAACTAATGAAATCAGCGGGATATTTTTAACCGGAAATACATTTCAGATCTGCCAAAACATCGCGTGTTTACATCCTAGCGTTCGGAAAACATCGGAAATCGATTCTAAAGGTCAAATTACATCTGAAGCGTGCTTTTCACGTGCACTGGGCTACGGGAGACCCCTTATTGGCCAATTTTACCTGCAGCACGCGCGTGCGAGTAAAAACCCGATGAAACCTGATATTTTGAAAAAAACGAAATAAACATTTCTACTCGCCGTATTCAAACGGAACTTTCTACATAAAAGCGCTTGAATACAAGGAATATTTCACTAACATTAACCTGCGGCGAATACTGAAGAGTTTAGAAAATATTCAACATTTTCTCCATATGAAAATACAGAATGTTTGGCCAAGCGGTGAGTAAATATATGATTGTTTCGGTTTGTGTATTTGTTTTGACGGCATTAGACCCCCCGATGAAAAGCTTATTTTGTTAAGATTCCAATGGTGTTCTTTGTTTTTAAGGGGGGTGAATACGCACTGAAATATTTACGTTATAAAACAGTTGAATCAAAATATTGCTTGCCGTGAAAAATGTCACATGTCGAGAAAGAGTTAATCATTTCCCTCCTTTCCCAAGGTTGATCCCAAGATGTTTGATTTTCAAGTGACTGCACGTACCTTGATTTGTGAATCTCATTTTAAAATGCTATACAGTGTGTTGTAAATATAATCTGTGCAAGCGTAGGTAGTACCAAAATAAACTTGGTACACTACATGAAAAAATAAGGAGAAACTCGTCGTATCGAGCGAAGGCCCTTCGTCGGGGACTCGGGAGTTAAATTTCCCACTGGATAGCATATTAAAAGCCCTGTAGATCTGAGCTGTTGAAGGGCTAAACAAGTTAGTGACAGAGTTTTGCATGGTTTTTACATATTAAACATGCCATGCAAATTCTTAACAAAATATTCAATCTATCTACAGTATATGATGTAACGCTGCATGTCCAGAAATCAGTTTCTGAAAACGCACCAAATACAGTCCTATATAGGTTTGGAAAAATACGAACTAATACTAATGCCCCCAGAGCTACTATTATACATGCGACATTGCACCCAACTTTTTGTCACAAACAACCATCTGTCATCTTTCCACACTCGTATGTAGACTCACTGACGAGAATACACGAGAATCCTTTGAGGAAGCCATTTGTGTTTTCCCGCTTTTAGCATAAGCCGCATAAATTAGCGTGACGTCATAGGGTGTTACATCGTTTTTCAATATACCATGAAATTACGTCAAATGTATTATATTTGTTTTCAATCTTTCACGGTGATGTCATTACTCCAAATTTGGGCAGCTACCGAGCGGATATGACTTCATTTCACCAACAGCTCCTAGCCAATCAAAACTTTCAATAAAATTTCCATTTATTGCAATACACCCTTTCGATAATTGCGTCATTTGGCCTGGGAGCCTCCCTCTCATGAACCATGAGCCAATCACCTTGCGTAATTTACTAATATGAGCAAGGCTCCAAGACCAAAAAGTATGTGTGACGTAATTATTGAAAGGGTGTATTGCGCGCACTCTTGCCCCTGTGACCATGTAGTATCCATGGTTATATTCTCACATTTCCAATACAATACGGTAAGGGTGTGGTTTGCAACATGAAAACATGAGCATGCAACAATGGGACGAGGCCATTTGAGAGAAAAGTGGAATAAACAGTAAGTTCTATTGTTTATTGTTATTTACAGAGGGTAATGCATTGTCCAAGAAATTGCAAAACCAAATAAAGAAGACTGAAAAGAACATGAAACAACTACTAATGGAATACAATTCTTCATGTGATCAGTTGAAGGAAGAAACGAAGCGTTCATTCCAAGAGCTGAATCTCGACCTCATAAAACGACAAGAGACCTTCAATTTGGAGGATTTGGACACCGAAGTTACCGCTATTCCGTTGTCAGTCAAGCGACATGCAATCGAGATGTTGAATCTGTTCAAACGATGTAAAGAAGAGAAGGCAATTTTGAGCGGTGACATAAAACAAATGTTTTATTACTATCGTAATGATGAATCCAATGTTTCCAATAGTATCAACATGATCTCTTCAAATGACGCACTTAACCGGTATGAAGCGGGCTCATTAGCATTGTTAAGACCCTTTATTTCATGACTTTTTTCTCTGTTCGCAAAAAAATAAATTCCAATGGTTTCAGAGCTAACTTACAGAGGTAAACCATACCAGATTATAAAAAACCCATAACTCACTTGAATTCTAGCATGTTGTCACACAACAACATTATGAGGTAATGGTGCATTATGCTCCTGAATTTCAAAATAAATCTAATGAAATCAATTTGGCAATAACTTATCTCAGGCCTAACTTTACACCATTATATGATACTGCCACTCCATAAACGCTATGAAACATATATTTTTAGACCAACGGTCAAATATCTAATTATCTAAAATAACCTATATGCCTGTATCACAACGTTCTAAGATAATATAATCTATATACTGCATAAAAATGTATGTTATATAACCCAAAACTGTCAAAAATATGTTCAATAAAGATTCTCGAATGGTCTGTACCAGTGTAGGTAGCGTCAACAGCAAAAATACACTTCAAGTGAAGGCTCTAGAATATAATGTGGTCATAATAACATTTAAATATTTAGTTTTAAGATCTGTGGTGAAATGCATTGAAGCAGTTGCGATCTTTCACCAAGCACAATTGTACATGACATTTGCTACACTTTACTCTAGAATATCCCCCACTACAAAATCTACACCTTTGTTGTTTTTCCACAAATAGTGGAAAATGTCCAATTTTGTCAAATCTGACGTCATTTTGTGGAATAGGAACTGATGCTTTTTGGCGCTTATGTGGATTAGACGCATCACTTGATTGCGGTGAGAGTGAAGGACGGCCCCGCTTGTTTTGTGGTACCTGACTTCCCACCTTGCCTGCATACAGGAGTGAATGGGCTATTTGGGTCTGGAACGTCAGCAAATGCAAAACATTTTTCCCTGCAATTTTCTTTTGTTCACAATGTCGCCGATACAGGAGCCATCCATTGACAATTGCTACTCCAATACAATAGTAGACAATATGCATATACCATTTCCTCTTACGAAGTTTGATGCGGTACAAAGCCATTAGCATATCACACAGATCGACTCCTCCCATATGCTTGTTGTATTCATGCACAATCTGAGGACAAGGAACATCAATCTTCTTCTTCTCTTTCGCACTCCACCGTTTAACTGGGTTCCCATTGCCGATTCCAACAAATGATGAAACAAGTTGAACCAAACCATTGTCCAACCATCGGACAAGAGCGATATTGGAATTCGCATCAACACGATAGTCAATCGAACCTCGACCTGCAGCTACTAATACTTTCTTGCTTTTCAACAGCTTATCTGCTCCTGCTAAGCGATTAGAACGTATTGTGCCCAATGCCCATATTCCTTCAGCTTTCAAATGCTTGACGTGATTAATGCTGGTAAAGAGATTATCAAAGTATACTTTGTGGCCCAGATTCTTCGGGAGGTGTTGAACAAGTCGATTAACAACTGCACCAACTTTACCGAATTCTTTGTCTTCTTCTTGCTTCCCTGTATACACTTCAAAATCATAAACAATTCCACTATTACCACATCTTGCCCACACCTTGATGCCCCACTTGTGGGGTTTCTTTGGCAAATACTGGCGCAGGGAAGATCTGCCCTTGGTGGGAATCATCTGTTCATCGATAGAGTGATACTGTTCCTGTGGAACGTCTCTGCATTTGGACACCAAGGACTCTAACATCGGTCTCACTTTGTACAATTTATCAAAATTTGCTTCTCCTTGCTTTGGCATTGTGCTGTTATCAGCTATATGAAAATAACGCTTGAGATTTTCAAATCGGTTTACACTCATGACATCTGCAATTGCTGGTATTCGTGTTTCTGGGGACCAATACATTCTATATGAAGGATATTTTACAATTCCCATCATGATTAATATACCAATAAACTGTTCAATTTCATTGTTATTAGTCTGTATGTTCTTTCCAGAGGTTTGTACGGAATACAAGTCGGTCTGTTCAATAATTGTTTCAATAAGTTCATGGCCAAAAAACATATCAAAATAATTCCTGGGTTCAAGATCATGCACAGGGGGATCTGGAAAAGGTGGACCTTCAAATTTGGCATCTACTTCAGCAGGGGTAATTTTTCTCCATTTTATATTGTTTTTACTTTGTTTGTTTTTATCTTTCTTTCTCGGTTGTATCTTCTCTTGTACTGGATCATCTTCAGCATCACTTAATTCTTCAGCGTAATCACTGACAACATCTTCTTCATCATCGGAACTTTTGGAAATATCAGAATCACTGCCTTTGCCATCACTTTTGTTTGCTTTATCCTCAAACATATCCTCCAAATTTAAATCCCTTTGAAATTGGGAGATCTCGTCATCCCCATCATCATCTATGTCCTCCTCCGTCTCACTCAAATTAGAATCTGGTACGAATATGTTTTCAGTTACCCTTTGCCTTCTAATTCAAGAGCCTGATGCATCATTACAGGTCCTGTAAAACTTACCCACCTCAAATGGCATATTTGCATTTACACACGACACATGAATCTCTTTCAGTATTATAAAACTAAACAGAACATTCATATATGACATTAGCCCGATTAGGAAGATACATGTATGATGCAAAGATATATTATCAGATTATATAACAAATACATACTATTAGATCACATTTACCCTTGCCTGGAGAAATCCAGCATAAAGTGAGACTACTGAGTGTCATTTTGCTATTTTGTGCAATAGATATAAATGCCTTTTGAACAAGTAAAATTAAAAATGGTCTTTGTTGCATTCTGATATTAGGTCAAATATTATATGCTTGAATAGACACTATAAAGATCATAAAAATGATCTCTTTTATCATAATTACTGGTCAAGAGAGACAAAAACGTATGAAAGACACCTAAATACCTATTTAAAACAATTCTCTGTTGCAAAATTCTAAAGCTAGACTGATAAATATATGTCGCACATCACTACACATGTATCTATTTTTATATCCATATCTTCATGATGTTGTTGGTCAACAACAAACATATTCATAGTCGAGTATCACTACCTGTATAGCTATCCAGTAAATTATATTAGTACTAGCATTAACAAAGTTTAAACCAGTTCAGTCATATTTTTTTATTTTTCAATACTATCTTTACCTTCGAAAAAACGATGCTCCAAATGAGTGATGTTAAGCTTTAAACACCCGCCATATTGAATTCTTTTAATTCGGCCCAGATCACAAGCATTATTGCATAATACTGCATTGTTACCATGGATACAGATCTTACATCATCATTGCGCAAGTAATCTGACCCAGGCCTAATTTTATCACACGAAAATATTGTAAAAATGTATTGTTGTTGTGCAACAACATCATGAAGTAAAGGGTTAAGAGCAGAGCAAAAGATCCTGCAACAATGTATTCTGCACATACGTGACTCATTTAGAAACTTGGTGGAACTACCTGATGTCAATTATTCGTTGATAGCAGATACTGGTGAAGTGATGTCAGATAATGAAAGCATTCACACTCAGTCATCCGAGGAAACATAGTGTGTCTTGTACAAACAATCGCGCTGAATCTATGTAACAGATAAAAAGACAATTTAGTCAAAAGTCAATTTTAACCATCTTTGCACAAATTTGATAAACATGAGATGGATGTGCCATACTCTGAATGTTTGTGATCATGAAGTGACGGCCGTCAAGAAGTGAGGAACATCTATATACTTCACATTATTTTTTAGAATATTGCAATGGTATTTTACCAACCATGAAGGCCAGTGTGAACGCCCAAGCAGGTGTCTTGTTCTTTCTAGAATAAATTGTGCGAAACAGGGATTAGGTTCCAAAATGAATTAGTAAAATGGTGCAAGATTGGAATTAAATTCCAATCTGAATGCTTTAGTATAAATAGTGTGAGATTGTAATTAGATTCCAATCTGAATTAGAGTATAAATGGCACAAGTTGAGAATTACATTCCAATCTGAATTAGTATAATTGGCGCAAGATTGGAATTAATGCCATTAATATGAATTAGTAAAAATGGTATGAGATGGTAAGATTGGAATGTAATTCCCACCTCGTATCATTTTAACTAATTCAGATTAATGGAAACTGGTTTCAACCTCACACCAATTGTAATGGGAATTAGTGGGGCACATCATTAGGGCTCATTGCAGCTTCACCCAATTAGCATGTTTGACGCCGGCTGGCAGCCGGAAAATTTGTCACTAATTGTTTTGGCTTGGCACTGGTTCTAGAATTAATGTTTTTAAAATCGGAAACCATTTAAATTTTGTCAAAATCATCAAACTGCATTGCATGTATATTTGCCTTCCCAATGTTTATAGCTGCTGGTACTGTAGCAGTAACCTCAGCTGGTAAGCCATAATGTAATAGTAATACTATGCTACAAACAGGCTCAGCTGGTAGCCCTAAGAACCTCGGCTGGTAGCCGTGATGTAATATTAGTATACTATACTACAAACAAGCTTGGCTGGTGGGCATAAAAACCTCAGTTGGCAACCTCGGCTGGTAGCCATGATTGCATTGTATTACTCAGATTAATTAAAGAGTAGTATGTACCCTCGCGGCTGTGTATATAGCTCAGTTGTAGTAACCAGGGCCGCCAA